CTGAGAGGGAGGAGCTGGTGGTCTACAGACAGACTCAAACTGATAGTTACAACATCAAACTAAGGCTGGCTTTCCAGTCAATAACGGACCAGAGACCACAAACCTTAACTTCTCTGAAGTGGTGGTGGGCTGTGGCCCTTCTCAGAGAACTCTAATTATACACTTTTTAAGTTTATGACATACAAAAAGCAAAGAAAGTCTGGTACCGTTTTGTATAAGATTCTTAGATAGCCCTGTAATAGGAAGGGATATTGTTTCAGCAAAGAAAATTAACATTAATTAATATTCGCAAACCACCTACAGCCATATGATCAGAAATAAGTACTTTTAGCATGATAAAAGTCATTTATTTAAGTATACCAACATTTAAAAAACGTGACATGTTAAAAATTAACAGCGGAAATTGCATTACATTACAGATAACTGAACAAGTAAACAATCATTAAAATCTTATACATGTATGAGTCTAAGAAAGGTAGTACAGTAATTGACTATAAAATATAGCAAAACAATTTATGATAGCAATACATGTGTGATCGAAAGCAAAGGCTTAACGTTCTATTCCTCACTTCTCTAATGTCAAGTCAAATATCAAATTAGCAAAAATATGATGCAAATGTCAATAAACTAATACCTTTAATAAATGCATGTATATAATAAGAAAAGGGAAATTGCATTGATAAAACATAAGATAAAATGAGCTAAGTAGAAGCGGCAAGAATACAATTTAAATCGCTCAAATATGATTTGCTGAACTGTGAAAGACTAGCCCAGTGAATATAGTATAATGAGCATTACATGATACAAATATGAAGGTAAATGAAAATATTGAAACTTCTATTTTTTCTTTCTAGACTTTAAAACAACAGTATTTTGTCAAACACAAGTTTCTTTAAAAAAAAAAAAGATGACCTTAATAGTTAAAAAAAAAAGGTTAAAACTAAATCAGAATAGCTTTGTGAGGACAGATATGGATGATGTGTTTTGCTTTGGTTAACCGTATTAATACAATAAAAGTAATGTTGCTAATTCCTTCAATATAAGCATCAGTAAAGCCTAGCGCAGTTGTTACTTTAAATCAAACTTCTGAGTCTTTGCAGTAAGACTCTGGTTGCTCAGTGGGCTTGGTTCATCCACAAACACACCCATCTCTAACAGAATAGCTTTTGGAACTGGATGTGAATGACGGGACACGTACAGCTCCTTCAGACTTTGTACTCATAGGAGAGGCTTTATAGTCCTTGCATAGAGCTCCACTCAGACTGGGAGCACATTTCACGTCCAGCTTGTAGAAAGCTG